ATGATACAATTTTATTACAACTGAAGCTGAATTTTTTTTGGAAAGGAATAAAATTTAAATTAGACCAAATTAAAGAAGTAAAAGGAAACAAACAAAAATTGTTTCCACATTCTGAATTAATTCTACAAACCAAGTAAACTGAAAGCAAGAGTTATATGAAGGACGTAAATACCGAAGACTAAATTTGTACACTTAAAACTACAGTAGGTGCCACTCAATGTGACAGTGGTTGTTATCATTTGGATATTATTACTGAAGTCCTGCCCATTCATATACAGTGGTGGCCAAAATTGTGGACACTTTTTGAAATTTTTATGTTTTTGAACTTTGTGTACTTATAGAAAACGTTATGTTTCACAAAATGTAAACTTGTATATATCATTTTAAGGAGAATTTATTACTGAATTCAATACAGAACACAAAATTCAATTATTTGCAATACAAAAAAAGTTAAACGATAATAGTTATCGATATACATTAGATAGTGATGATTGTAGTGAGTTATCAGTGCTTAGTAGGGTACCCTTTATTTTTGATTACAGCTTCACATCGACGTTTCATTGAGCTGACAAGAGTTTTAAGCTCTTCTTTCGTTATTACATGATGCCAGGAAACAATTATAGCCTCAATTAGTTCCCTTTTATTGATGGGCGCCTCATTTGGATAAGAGTTTTCAAACGGTGCCACAAATTTTCGATAGGATTGAGGTCAGGACTGTTTCCTGGCCATGACAACAATTTAATGCTCTTTGTACGAAACCACTCTTTTGATATTTTGGCCGTGTGGCAAGGAGCAGAATCCTGCTGAAAAATAAATGAAGCATTGTTGGGAAAGAGATCTCTGATGGAAGGTAGAAGTTTTGGTTCTAGAATAGTGTCAATGTATTTTCTCGCATTCAGTGTTCCATCGATGACATGAAGGCGACCAATACCATCTGCTGACATACATGACCAAATCATAACACTAACTGGGTTCTTCACAGTTGCTTCAATGCAGTCAGGATGTAGCTCTTCTCCTATTCTACGTCTTACATATTTTTGCCCATCACTACCGAATAACGATATCTTAGTTTCATCACTCCATATAACTTGTGACCACTGATCATCTGTCCAATTAATGTGTTATTTTGCCCACTGTAGTCTTTTTTTTCGTTGCTGAAAATTAAGATAAGGCTTTTTTCTTGGAATTCTACCTCTCAGTCCAACATCTGTTAATCTTCTCCTGCTTGTTCTTGAACTGACAGAACCATCAGCATCATTCAGATCACTTCTGATGACCGCTGATTCTATCTTGGAGACATAGTCGTTTTATTTTTCTGTCACCAATAGATGTGGTGCACCTTTTCCTTCTTTGTTTTTTATTGAATTTGTCTCCTGATATCATAAACAAAACTTTCGGACTCCAGATGTAGTCACTGAACCACCCACCTGTCTTGCAATTTCAGCATAGGAAAGACCACTTTCTCGTAACACAATAATATTACATCTCTTTCTAGGTGTCCAATCTACTCTTTTATTTGATGTCATTGCTTCTTGACTAATTATTAAAAATTTTTACAAAAATTCCTACTTGTAATTGCAGTGTATAAGAAACAGGTCCTCCTTCTACAGAACAAAGCAAAATAATGAATTGTTTCAAGTGTAAACATGATGTCAGCTTCTACTGGCAGTTACTAACATTTGATTGGTTCTCAAAACAAAAACAGTGATTGGCCAGGAAAGCTAGACATTACAAACCACTTCATAACTGTGTTTTTTATTTATATTAAAATACATATAACTTTTTTTGTATTGCAAATAATTGAATTTTGTGTTTTGTATTGAATTCAGTAATAAATTCTCTTTAAAATGATATGCACAAGTTTGCATTTTGGGAAACATAACATTTTCTATAAGCATACAAAGTTCAAAAACATAAAAATTTCGAAAAGTGTCCACAATTTTGGCCACCTCTGTATATGACATGAGAAATATATGGCTTATTATCATGAGTAAGTCAATATTACAAAAATATTATAGAATGAATTTTTTAAAGTAATGCTACTATATAAAAGATTAAATACACAAATAAGGTTAAAACAGAGCAAAGAGAGCCAACAACAGAGCTATGTGGCTAAGTAAGGGAGTAGGTCACCAAAAATGTTGATTTTTATTTAAGGCAACATGAAAGTTTTTGAACTGTGTCTCAAAAAAGACAATGAAGAACTAATAAATGATAAAATAAAAGATAATGAAATATTAAAAACATCTCTAACTAGCATAATTTGTGAAGAATTTAACACTTGGATGGCTACTGATGAAAAACCTCAAGCTACAGATTCAATCACAGAAAATATCTGCCCGTTGCTTTCTGATATGAATCCAAGCATGTCATGTGATAAACTTTCTGAAGAAGATGACGATGAAATCGATGAATTGCCTACAGATGCTGAGATTAGGGATGCCCTATGAATATTTAGATAAATGGTACAGCATTGTTGAAATAATTTCCAGAAACAATAAGCAGAGTTAAAAAAAAATTAACTTCCATGTTAAGAATTACAATTATCAATAGTTATTTTTTTCTGTAATGCTGGGAAATATGTATTTATATGTTTCTAGTTATAATTTTATTAAATTAGCTGAAATCCACTGATATTTTGAAGGATATTTTTCCCATAACTTTATCTTATAGTTAATGTTATTGAATAGTTTAAAAAACACGATCACATTAAGTGGCATCTATTGTACAATAGCACGGATAGTTCTACAGAAACTATTACGCATGCCTGCCAGTTTCATAAATTCGAACAGCATTCCATTTCCTCCCTTCTCTCATTTTCAGTTCTACACTCCTTCTCCCATTCTTTATGCTAGTTTTACCTGCAGCTATACAAGATATATACTTGGAATGGCCATCCAAATAAATGATAAGCAATGGAAAGTTTTTTATTGCAGTATAATCTAGAAACTATAATTTCCATTTATGCTGATTTAAAAATAGAGGAGCCTAATATAAATGAATAATATAACCAATTTATATAAGTAATAATAAATTAATGCACATAATAAATTACTGTAATAATGTATATAACAATTAAATGTATCTAATATGCCTTATTTATTTCGCACTTTTAGTCTGAATATTATCCTTTCTGTCCTGAAATCCGCACAACCTCTGGTCCCAAGCTTTGCGGATTTCAGGACTTCTACTGTATATACAATTATAACAGCAATAGTAATATTTTATATTTATTCAGTTATTATATGATATAAAAGTGAAGGAAAATGAGAAGGTGCTTTTATGGAAGGCCGCAATGAAAATCAAATGGAAAGCAGGCAGGTGAAATTACAAAATTTGTGACAAGAGTTCCTTGTTATCTAATGATCTATCATGTAGATTTCTGAAAAATCTCTCTCTTTAAGCTTATCTACCAAAATAATCATGGTAAACAAGTATTGCAAGCAGCTACCAAACTCAGCATTAAAATTCACAAAAAGATCCAGTTATGGTCACTCAGCAATCATGAAAACATACTCTACCCAAGTTCACCTGCTCTGGACTCTGCAGTATGCTTTCAACAGGAAGAAATTAAATTTCTCAAAAATTACCAAATATCCCATTACAACTTTCTTAGCCCCCCCCCAAAGGAAAGGGCTCGGATTTTAACAATTGCCCAAAAGGTTTTTTTCAGGTTTTTCTATGCTTTCACTGAGCTTGCAGTCTACAAGTCAGTTGTTGCACTCACTCCAGCTAACACATTTGCTTTGTTTTTTTAACTTCATTAGTGAGCATCATTTTCTTAACAATTATGTCATACACTGTTCAACAGAAAACTTATGAAAATTTTTAAAGTAGCATGTGTTTAGAATTCCCAACAAAGTGTCAAGTGTTGGCATATATTTTTCAACTTTTTTTCAGTCGTTTCTCAGTTTATCATATCAATGCACAGTTTCTTAGTTCTTGGGGGAAAAAAATTAACGTTTTACATGTTAAATTAATTAAATATTGTGTTCTTCGCACTTATGCCCCGTGTAATTCAGCTGGATATCAAACTCGCAAAATAATTAAAAGCAGCATACCTTTAGAGTTTCCAATATACAATCTTGCCACGCTGAAGATACCATCTTTTAATCTGTATGATGTGCCACTGGTTGGTTTCAAATCGTTGGGTTTGTTAAAAATTCATTAAGGTTTTATATATGTATGAAATATAAAGTTTGAAATTTAAAATTCGGACTTCCAGGTGCATATGTTTGGGTGGAGGGCTATTGTTATTCAACTTCTGATGGTCCCGGGTACCATTGTCTTTTCATAATGCGAGAAACATACATACACTCATGCAAATTCTTTATCATTTAATTTCTTTTAAAGTAATACAGGGTAATAATATTTTGTGGCAACAATTTGAAAAGTGATTCAGACATTTAAAGTCTACCAAAGCCTGTTTCGAGACTAATAGCATGAGGTTTTTCACAGAAAAAATTCATGATATTGTAAAACAAAGGAGAGCAAATATAGAAAATAATGGACACTAAATACAGAAATCTTTTATATAACTCCTTGGATTCAAACACAGTAAGAACTTTTATCCAATAATTTTAATACTTATTTGGAATTACATTATTAATTATACAATCAAATTTGCTGAAGATGATAATTTTAGGTGCATTTTAGATTTCTCAATTTACAGAAATTGTATTATGTTATTCAAATAATTACTTTTCTTATTATTTAGAAATTACACATATGTAGTAATAAATGCAAACTTGAAATAAAATTTAATGACTAACAGTTAGTTCCAAGACAATACCGCATAACATAACTATTTTTTAGTCTACAAAGAATAAAAAAACATAATTTCTCAACTAAAATTTAAGTTTCTGCACTTTCAGTTAAAAATTCTAGTGTTAAAGCACTGAAATATTATAACAGACAACATTCTTGACACCTGTGATGAAAAGTATAATTCACAGTGAAATTAATTTACTAGTTTGGAAACAAAATCATACTTAACTAACCTGGGGACGGCTTCCCATTGAATATGCACGAACTGGACGAATATACGATTCACACGAGGTATCATCAGTATCAGCTAATAAAGATTTAACCTGAGAATGAAAAAAAAGAGTACATACTTAAAAATTTTGCTGAAATATTTTTTGCAGATAAAGCTACTTCAAAATGTAATACAATCCTTATTATCCTATATTTGGTTATCTGACATTTTCATGAAAAGAATACTAGAAATTACTACATTTCTGTTTTTAAATAATATTATATATTTCAATCAAGAGAGATTGTCCATTAAGTTAGAGTTAAGAACTGATTACTGATTTAAGAACGGCTCAGAATACTATCCTGATATGAATTTTTGCAAAGTAACTTGCCAAGTTAGAAAGAATTAATCACTTTTAATATCCATCACAAAATAATTCTCTTAATGCATTTTTTTAATATTATGACCAAAGTTTTCTATTAAATTCATTTTAATCATTCATTCATAAAAAGAAAAATGTCATACCGAAATCAAATGTAAGATATTGTATAATTATATCACTCTTCCATTGTGCTAAGCTAATAAAAGTTGTTTTTATAATTTTAAATAATTTATTTCCAATAATACTGCTTTATCCAACACTGACTGTTATCTATCATTAAGTTCTGCTCATGCATGATAACAAAAAATTCTATACTAAAGAAAAAAAATTTGAAAGTTTTCAGATTTTATATATTACACCCCCAAACGGCATTTTTTTTTTTTTTTTAAAACATTTTGTGTGTTACTTTTATTTATTAAATAAGCACTTAAACCATAAAAATTCAATCAACAGCAATATCACAAAATATTTAAAAGAGCATATCTTTAAAATTTCCGATACCAAGTCTCGCAAGCTGGAGATAAAAATGTTTTCCCCCCTCCGTTAAAGTGTTGCCCCTACTCGCTTTGAAATCGTAGAGTTTCTTAATCAAAAACTCATAAATACTTTACAAAATATGAAATAGATAACAAAACAAACAAATTCCAAATTTGGGCTTCCAGATGCCAATATTCAGGTGGAGATGTATGTTATTCAAAATTTGATGGCTCTAGGTACCATTGATTTATCACAATACAAGAAACATACATTTATAGAGATTCTTCATTATTTAATTTCTTTAAATAAAATACAGCGCAATAATATTTGGTGGCAACAAGTAAAAAGTGAACCGACACAAAATGCCAAAACGAAATTAATAGCCCTTCTGGACAAATTGCCCCTTTGGGCTAAAAAAAAAGCTTACAGAGAAATTCTGATTTTGTACTAAGAATTTATTCCTTTTATGTTCTTTTTAAGAATAATACAATGTGGCCTGCTTTAGACTGATAACCAGCAAATAAATCTTTATTATGCAATATTTAAAAAGAACAGATTTCAGTTTTCCTTTCTTCTCAAATATTTCATCTTAAATAATTTTTTTATTGAAAATTTAGATATTAAATGGTCCCATGCAAATCTTGCATTCTTTTTGTAATTTTAAAACTAGGAGCATTTTAAACACCTTATCCTTGAAGAAGATACTGGTATGTTACAAGAAATGGATGTTATAAGGTAACCGCAAAAGAAATTATCACTGTTGTCTCCTGGTTCTGTGGCATTTGCCCTTAAACTAAACATTTAGGAACTGTACTGCTCTGTGTTCAGTCGGCCAGCATTGTAATTGTGCACTTTGAATTGCAAGAGAGTGACTAAACCATCACAGCTGAGGTGTACTCATTCTATATACAAAAGGTTGAAGATGCTCTGCATTGGAAGCAGCCAGTTGTAGTCAGCAGGAAAGTTTGGTTTGGTTTGGTTTGATTATGGCACAGACCTGAAGGGCTATCTGCCTAACCGTAGAAAATACCTAAACAGCCAGCCCTCTGCTGTAATTCAAACCCAAGACTGAACTAAACTGCCAGTGCTCCGCGACTTTACAACTCGGCCGCTCGTGAGCCTTAACAGGAGAGGAATGATCATTCTTCAAAGACAAATCCAGACCTCATACACAAAAGCAACCGAAGAGCGATCAACACACACACAAACAAAAAAAACTTGGTTGAGAACTTTTTACTTCAGGCCTCCCTACTCCTTAAACATTGCTCCGTGTGACTATCACCTGTTTTTGGCCACGGATAACTACACTGGTGTGCAAAAATTAAGGACGAGGTCGAAAAATTAGCATATCAGCTGAATGAAGAGGCAGAGCGGACAGAAAGACCAATCAGGAGATTAAGTAAGGTGATGTACGGTAGCACATGCACACATATGCAGGTAGACGTAATGGGGGAGTGTCTGAGTAGTATAAAGCATGTTGTCGGTGTAAGATCATGATTTCTGGCAAAGAGATTGCACGCCGTATAGCAGTTAAAATCACACCGAGTTGCTGCCTCAGCGAGAAATGGCGAATAATGAATCTGTTAGACGACATCTGGATGCTTTTACCCGAGGTCGAATCATTGGGAAGTTGGAGGAAGGCCGCAGTGTGACAAGTGTGGCTGCAGAGTTCGGAACTGCTCACAGCATCGTTTCACGACTTTGGAGACAATTTCAAACTACAGGAACAGCTATCCAGGGGTTTAGTAGTGGTCGTCCACGAGGAACCACACCCGCAGATGACCGGTATATTGCCTTACAGGCCAGAAGAAACAGGCGGCAGACAGCGGGAGAAATCGCTAGACACACGACTGGACGACCCATATCGCGTTTTACCGTGGCCAGAAGACTGCACGGTGGTGGTCTGTTTGCACGATGCCCTGTACGGTGTGTACCTCTAACGCCTGCCCATCAGAGAAGGCATTCTCTGTGGTGCCGGGAACACCGGAATTGGAGAGACAATGAATGGGGATGAGCACTCTTTACAGATGAGAGCAGATTTTGTCTGAGTAGCGATTCTCATCGCGTACTCATTTGGAGAGAGCGGGGAAGCTGCAATCATCCCTCGAACATCATTGAAAGGGACAGGTATGGAGGTGGCGGTGTTCTCGTTTGGGGAAGCATCATGCTTGGTAGTCGTACAGACCTTCACATCTCCGATGCAGGTTCAGTCAACGGGACCCGTTATTGTAACGAGATTCTTCTTCCATATGTGCGTCCTTTTAGAGGCGCTATGGGTCCGCAGTTCTTTTTCATGGAAGACAATGCACCATGTCATCGCACAGTAGCTGCCGAACAGCTCTTAGAGAGTGAGGATATTGAACGTATGGATTGGCCGGCACGATCTCCGGATCTCAATCCCATCGAGCATGTATGGGATTTTCTAGGCAGACGCTTGGCAGCTCGTACCTTACCACCAGTAACGATTCCGGAGCTTCGATTGGCGCTGCAAGACGAATGGGCAGCAATGCCTCAACAACTCATTGACACCCTCATTCTCAGCATGGGCAGACGCTGTGAAACCTGCCTAGCAGTCAGGGGAGATCATATCCCCTATTAAAGACTGAATGTTTCTTGCTGGACACCCATCACAGGGATGTTTCGGCCTTCAGTCGCATTGCGCTCCATGCTACTTTCTCAATAAAGCTTCCTTTTATCCCTCTGATTTCTCTTTTAGTAAGTGTTGCTTACATTACTCATGTCCTTACGTATTGGGGATCTTATGGTATTAAATGTGTTGATTTGGAAAGCTTTTGTACAAAGTTATATTGAAAACCGTCTCGTCCTTAATTTTTGCACACCAGTATATGTTTGGATGAAGCATACAATGATAATGGGGATAGAAAATAATTCACCATTTGCAAAGTCGGATGTTTCTAGCAGTTGAAAATTCACCTAGTCATGCAGAGTTACCTAGATGACACTAAGATTTAATTACACTAACTTTAATTGAAAGTTTAATTGTATAATTTGAACAATTGTTAAAATGGCAAAATACAAATTTCTACTAAAACTATTTATTACAAGTGTTTGTTGTCCAACTAACTAAAATATAGAATTTAGATTTTTAAACCAAAGGTTTGAACCATAGTTGATTGATTTTAAAACACTGCCAACACCCGATTTAGACTTTTTACATGCTCTATCATAAAAAGGTAATCTAGCTTCATTTCAAAGTTTGTAATTGATCAGATATTATATAAAAAGATATCAACATTACAGAAACATTTCTGAATTTAATAAATTTCCTTAATTTTTCTGTTTTAACTTTGAATTTTATGTTTTCAAGATATAATATGAATATTCATTATATTTATTGCTATGTCATTTTGGAACACAGTTTGTAAGGGGCTTAAAGTTAATGTTAAAAGAGAAAAACAAAAATCTCTAGTAAATACTTGCTTGTAAAAACCATTTCTACAGATATGCCTTAGTACATCTTATATTAGCATGAATTTGCACATCATGTATTCATTAACTTTAACACGTTAACCATACTGAAATATTTACACATTTTTTGTCTTGCAAATTCCTCCATCTGTTAAGTTTACGATTAGTTTTGTTAAAAATAATTGCTTTCGCCAGAAAACTTTTAAGGAATAATCGCCATATTTTGCACTGAACAGATTAAAAACAGAAGAGAAAAAAAAAAAAAAAAAAATATAGAACACTAATATCTTGGAGTGCATTATTACAAAAGATAAAACTGCTTTACCAATACAATCCAATATCTTCTTTTTGAACAATTTCTTATTCACTTATTTTCCATTAAAAAAAACTTTCCATAAAACATTATGCCATTCTAAAGCTAGCAAAATATTTCACATTTACAAGAATTTAATACCAATCCTTTCATATGAACACACAATACTTCTTTCATAAAACGTTTTCTTCAGTTTATAAAAAAAGTGTATATCTCCTATTTAAATCTGTGGTTCATTGAAAAAGATGGAAAAAACTTTAAGAGGTAATAAAATACATAAAAATAATCATTTTAATCAAAAATGCATGGTCGAAAATGAAACAAAGATACAAGGCATTTACACTGCAGTTAAGAAGCTGAGGTACTAACATAAAAAATGACATAAAAGATAAAAATAAAATTTTAGTAACTTCAATTATTACAGTAATTGAGTGTACATGCAATCAGCAATCAAGCTACATACCTCACAAAGAAGATGTAGAGATTTTTTAGCTTTCTTTAACACAACATGCACACTGTGCAGAGCTGCAACTAAAT